AGGGCCCGGCCGGTTCTGGGTCTTGCCCAATGTGGGTGGGGCCAGCTGGGTCTGAGTCTCCTGCAATTTTGAAGTGTGTGCTGGTGAGCAGAGACTTGACTCTGGATCCCACGGCCCACCCCAGACTCTGACAGAAGAGAGATTTTCATATACATTTTACTAATTTTCTTTCATCTCTGACACTTCTATTATAGAGAAAGGGCAAATAGCAATATTAAAATATTTCCTCTAATTAATTCCCTTTTAATGTGCACAAATTTTGTGCACTGGGACACTAGTAATAGATAAAAGACTTAAATGTAAGGTGTGAAACCATAAAAAATCCTAGAAGAAACCACAGGCAGCAAAATCTCAGACATCTCGCATAGCAATATGTTTACAGATACATCTCCTAGGGCAAAGGAAATTAAGGAGAAAATAAACAAATGGGACTACATAAAAATAAAAAGCTTCTGCACAGCAAAAGAAACCAACAAAATGAAAAGGGAGCCCAATGTATGGGAGAACATATTTGGCAATGATACATCTGTTAAAGGGTTAACATCCAAAATATATAAGGAACTCGTACAACTTAACAAAAGGAAGACAACCCAAATAAAAAGGGGCAAAGGACTTAGACATTTTCCCAAAGATGGCAAAGAGACATATGAGAAAATGCTCAAAGTCACTGCTCATCAGAGAGATGCAAGTTAAAATGACAATGAGGTGTCACCTCACACTTGTCAGAATGGCTACTATCAACAAATGACAAGTGCTATTAAGGATGTGGAGAAAAGGAATCCCAGTACACTGCTGCTGAGAATGCAGACTGGTGCAGCCATTATGGAAAACAATATGTAGCTTCCTCAAAAAATTAAGTATGGAACTGCCATTTGACCTAGTGATCCCACTTCTAGGAATATATCCTAAGAAACCCGAAACACCAATCAGAAAGAATGTATGCACCCGTGTTCATAGCAGCCTAATTTACAATAGCTAAGATCTGCAAACAGCCCAAGTGCCCATCAGTAGAGGAGTGGATAAAAAAGCTGTGGGACATGTATACCATGGAATACTATCTATACCAATGATGGCGAACCTATGACACGTGTGTCAGAGGTGACACTCGAACTCATTTTTTTGGTTGATTTTTCTTTGTTAAATGGCATTTAAATATATAAAATAAATATCAAAAATATAAGTCTTTGTTTTACTATGGTTGCAAATATCAAAAAATTTCTATGTGACACGGCACCAGAGTTAAGTTAGTGTTTTTCAAAATGCTGACACGCTGAGCTCAAAAGGTTTGCCATCACTGATCTATACTAATAAAAGCCTAGGTGATCCTCGTGCGTGACATCGTCACAAGATGGCCACCACAAGATGGCCGCACGCACATAAGAGGTGGTGCCCAACGGTTGCTCCACGCAGTGAAGCCTGGGGGTCCCGTGGCTCTGCACAGTGGGGAGGAAGTGGGTCGCGGCAGGGGAGGACAGTTGTGGGTGATCAGGCTGGCAGGGGAGGGCAGTTGTGGGCAATTGGGCCGGCAGGGGAGGGCAGTTGGGGGCAACCGGGCTGACAGGGGAGGGCAGTTGGGGGTGATCAGGCTGACAGGGGAGGGCAGTTGGGGGTGATTGGGCTGGCAGAAGAGCAGTTAGGTGTCAATCAGGCCGGCAGGGGAGTGGTTAGGGGGCAATCAGGGTGGCAGGCAGAAGTAGTTAGGGGCAATCAGGCAGGCGAGCAGTTAGGAGCCAGTGGTCCCGGATTGTGAGAGGGATGTCTGACTGCTGGTTTGGGCAGTCAGACATCTCCCGAGGGATCCCATATTGGAGAGGGTGCAGGCTGGGATGAGGGACACCCCTCCCCTGTGCATGAATTTCGTGCACTGGGCCTCTAGTCCTATATAATAAAAGCCTGATATGCTAAGTATCCAGTCAGCCATTTAACCAAAGCATACTATGCTAATGATATGCTAAGGCTGTTCATTCACTTGCTATGATGTGCACTGACCACCAGGGGGGGAGACAGTTACTGTTTGACCAGTTGCTATGACGTGCACTGACCACCAGGGGGCAGATATTTGACCAGTTGACCAGTTGCTATGACATGCATTGACCCACCAAGGGACAGATGCTCTAACCAGTAGGTTCGCTTACTACTGGGGTCTGGCCGATTGGGACTGAGCCAGATGGGCCGGACACGTCCTGGAGCCCTCATCTGGCCCCTCCCCAGCTGGCCAACCTCCTGCATCCCTTCCCAGCCCCAATCATGCACTGGTGGGGTCCCTTGGCCTGGCCTGTGCCCTCTCGCAATCCGGGACCTCTTAGATGTTTGAGAGCCGGTTTCGGCCTGATCCTGCAGACCAGGCTGAATTCATGCACCAGGCCTATAGTGCCACTATAAAAAAGAAGGATCTCTTACTCTTTCAGACAGCACAGAGGGACCTGGAGAGCATCATGCTAATTAAAATAAGCTAGTCAAAAGACAGGTATCACATGATCTCACTCATATATGGAATCTAATTAAAATAAAACTGATGAACGGAGTGGATCCAGAGACATGGAAGCATGGAACAGAGAGCGGAATCTCTAAGGGAAGGCGGGGAGGGTGGGAGGTAATCAACCAAAGACCTTGTATGCATATATGCATAAGCCCATGGACACAGACAGTGGAGTGGTGAGGGCCTTGTGTGGGGCTGGGGGTGGGCTGGAGGGGGTCAATGTGGGGAAAAAAAGGGGACATATTACTTTCAACAGTAAAGATTTAAAGTAAAATAAAAATGAACAGATGGATGGTAGATCCACTTGCTGTGCAAGAAAATCCTGGAGATCCAGGAACAAGAAGATCACAGTTCAATTTTTCAGGCTTGAAAGTAGAAATGGCAGGTAGTCAATTAAATTATAAAGAGTGGAGTTCAGAGGACAGGTCTAAGAAGAAAATACACTTGGGGTCAATACTGTTAATAATAGAGTAAGTGAGTATAAAATCCTTCAGCTAGTATTTAATGAATTCCTACAGTATATATTTTTAACTTATTTTTAAAAATCTTTTTCAATTACAGTTTACATTCAATATCATTTTGTTAGTATCAGTAATACAGCACAGTTGTTAATCACATACTTTATAAAGTGTTCCCTTTTGATATTTCCAGTATCAAGTGGCACCATACATAGTTATTCCAGTATTAGCATCTTTTCTACAGTGTACTTTGCATTCCCATAAATTTTGTAACTGCCAATGTGTACTTCTCAATCCCTTCACATTTTCCACTCAGTCCCAACACTCCTCTCCTCTGCCAATCCTTAATCTTTTTCCTGTATCTAGGAGTCTGTTTTGTTTGTTCATTTATATTGTCCTTTAGATCCACATATAAGTGAAATTATATGGTATTTATCTTTCTCTGAATGACTTATTTCACTTAGCGTAATACCTTCTAGCTTCATCAATGTTGTCACAAACGGTAAGACTTTATTTTTTTAATGACTTTATTATTCATATTTTTGAATAATTTTCTTCTACTTCTTAAAGACCCTTTAACATTTCTTGTAACGTTGGTTTGGTGGCAATGAACTCCTGTAGCTTTTTCTTGTCTGGGAAGCTCTTTATCAGTTCTTCTATTCTAAATGATAGCTTTTCTGGATAATCTTGATTGTAGGTTCTTGCTTTTTATCACTTTGAATACTTCCTGCCAATCCCTTCTAGCATGCAAAGTTTCTGTTAAGAAATCAGCTGACAGTCTTCTGGGAGCTTCCTAAGTAGATTACTAACTGCTTTTCTCTTGCTGCTTTAGAGATTCTCCCTCTTTTTAAAATTTATCTTTATTGTTGAAAGTATTATAGATGTCCCATTTTTTGAGTTTCTTTATATTTAACCTTTGGCATTTTTTAAAAAGAATAGTTCGATTTTTAGAGAGAGGAAAGGAGAGGGAGAGAACAGTATCAATGTGAGAGTGGAACATATATGGGCTGCCTCCTACATTCCCCCACCAAAGATTGAGCCTGCAACCTGGGCATGTGCCCTTGAATGGGAATCAAACTGTCAAATCTTCTGGTGCATAGGACAATGACCAACCGAGTCACATCAGCCAGGGTTATCCTTTGGCATTTTATTTATGACATGTCTGGTGTAGGCCTCTTTGGGTTCATCTTGTTTGTGATACTCTGCATTTACTGGAGTTGCATATTTATAGGTTGGGGAAGTTTCTCTTATTTTCTTTTTTTAAAGGTTTTCAATTTCTTCTTCTGGCACTTCCATGATGCAAGTATTGGTACACTCGAAGTTGTCCCAGAATCTCCTTATACTATCATTTTTTTCTGTTCTAATTGGGTGTTTTCTGCTTCCTTATGTTCCAAATATTGTCGTCTCTTTCTCTACCCCTCCATCCCTTCCATGTTCTCTAAAAATCAATGGAGGGAAAAAAAAATCAATGGAAAGAATATCTTCGAGTGAGGATTAATAAAACAAAACAAAAATAAATAAATAATAAAAATAAAAGGTCAGAATATACTATGAGTAAGAAAAAACACACAAGTATTCCTTTTTATTTTATTTTTTGTTGTTGTTAATCCTCACCTGAAGATATTTTTCCATTGATTTTTAGAGAGTGGAAGGGAGAGGGGGAGAGAGAGAGAGAGAAAAAACATCAATGGGAGAGAGACACATGAAATGGTTGCCTCCTACATGCACCCTGACCAGGGCCAAGGATCGAGCCTGCAACCAAGGTACATGCTCCTGACCAGAATCAAACCCGGGACTCTTTAGTCTGCAGGCCAATGTTCTATCCACTGAGCCAAACAAGTTAGGGAAGTATTTCTTATATATTTAAGGTGCTTAAGGAAAAATACTAAAGTTTTATGAAAAGTCAGTTTGGAGTATGAACTATAAAACTGTTCAACACTATTTACAGAATAGATAAAATTTGTTTAAAATTCAATTGTAGAAAACATTCTAGTTCCTACTCATGCATGTGTCTTCATTATAACCGAAGGTATCACAACAAAAGATTATAAAAACATTTAAAATACAATTTTACATAATTTTTATTTACACTTTAGAATTTAAACAACTGCTGGGAACATTTTCTGTGGGGCAATGTAGTCTTTTTTTTTTTTTTAATCTAAAACTTTAAACTTCAAGAAAGGCTCATTAATGTTTTTTAAGGGCAAGCAACAAATGTGTTAGCTGAAAATAGCCACCTTATTGATTGTATGTGACACATAGTTGATTGTGTGAGCCTAGAGAGCCTCCCCACCTCTGTTTCTCCTCTGAGGGAGGAAGTCTTTGTGTGCTTTTGTGCACCGGTTCTACTGAATTCATTACAATAGAGATAGACATTTGATATTCGTAACGATCCAACATCTGAGCAATCTTCTTTCGAGACACACCGTGTTTATTCCTCCTAACAAAAAAGAAAAAGATTTTAATTCTTTTTAAAGAATTTATAGGCTTAGAGAGTAAGTTGCTTTAGAGTAAGAGTACCAACTCTAAATTATATTTAGCAAATAAATACTAGAAGATACATCTCATTTACCTGCATTTTATACCAAAAAATTTATACTGGTTCTCTCAAAAACTTCAACAGTATTTTTAAAAGGTTTAAAGATACCATAAATCAGAGCAAAATGTTAAATAGTTATACCTTCATGACACAGAACTACTGATTCACTGAACCACTGAATTAATCTCCCTTCTTTTAAAAAAATAAAATAAAATATTATGAGAGTCAGTTTTCTTTTTGATATATATTTTAAATTGATTTCAGAGAGGAAAGGAGAGGGAGAGAGAGAGAAATAACAGTGAGACAGAACTACTGATTGGCTGCCTCCTGCACGCCCCACACTGGGGATCAAGCCCACAAATTGGGCATGTACCCCAACCGGGAATTGAACCGTGACCTCCTGGCTCATAGGTTGACACTCAACCAATGAGCAACATCTGCCAGGCGAGAGAGTCAGTTTTGAGAATTATAGAATTGAGTGGACCTGTAGGACTTACAAAAATCCACATCAAATATTTATCACTTTTTAAAACTTATTTTAGGACATGTCCCATGTTTGTATTTTATGTACTTTTCTGTGAATTTACTTATGAAAACAAGAAGCAGTTTAAAAATTATTCTTGACCCTCAAAGAACTTTTTATAATTTATCCTTGTAGTTTTCTATAACTTGACTTGGACATGGCAAACAACACAGAAATGTATTACACATTTAATGCTATAGTTCTAGATTTACTAATTCACTTTTCCCAGAAAAAGGACATAGAAGGAATGTTTACTTTTCAAAAATAGTGGTGCTTATGTTAAAGATAAGAAGACAAAGCAAAAGAAAGAGAAGACAGAAGACTAAAAAAGAGACCTCAGGTTGGAAATTGGCAAGATAACAAATTTTTAAAAAATATATTTTATTGATTTTTGACAGAGAGGAAGGGAGAGGGATAGAGAGCTAGACACATCAATGAGAGAGAAACATTGATCAGCTGCCTCCTGCACATCTCCTACTGAGGATGTGCCTGCAACCAAGGTACATGCCCTTGACCGAAACTGAACCTGGGACCTTTCAGTTCGCAGGCCGACGCTCTATCCACTGAGCCAAACCGGTTAGGGCGGCAAGATAACAAATTTGATGGTTCAATCAATTTTATACAAAAAAGCAAACTATACCAGACATCAGTTAAACTGATTTTAGTTTGTCAATTCAATTTATATTAAGAATTATAATAAATTTCAACGGTCCCTTAAATGAAAAAAAAGTCTAATTATATTTCATCAAATCATTTGTTCGTCATAACTCAGATATCTTTATTATTTAAACTTCTCTTTTACCTGAGGTGCAATACACACAGAGCAGGTAAATAATACCATATATTAGTAAATCTATCTGTTTATTTATTTATATATAAACACACGGCATATAGGTCAGAAAGGGAAAGTAAGGTAATCAAAGGAATGAAAGACAAGGGGAAAATAATTAAATTAGTTGGATACCACACAGAATAGCACTTAAAGCTGGAAGAGGGCAAACTGAGGTGTGACAAATAAAAATGATTTTAAAAAAAGGGAGGTGATGGTTGCACAACTCTGTGAATATACTGAAAACTACTGAACTGAACACTTTTAATGGGTAAATTGTAAACTATGTGAATTTTATCTCAAAGTTGTTATCAAAAGGAAGGGGTGTGAAAATGAAGGAAAAAAAGTCACAGTCAGGAAAACCAGTACTGTGAGGAGAAAGGGATAAAAGGTCAACACAAACAGAAGAGCAGGGTTGAAAGTAATACAAGTCCACAATTCCTCAACACAAATTCTGAAACATAAAATGCTCTGAAAACTCAGGGTTTTGTTGACTCATATAGCAGCAAAACATAACCAGACCTGTACTCATTTGGCAGCACGATCTTCTTGAACTGACAATAGATTATGTAGTGTTTCTTAACTATTTAGACTGCTTAGTCATGATTTGCCATAGATATAGTAAGATACTGGATTATGACGAGCTGCCCAAACTCTGCGAGGGGTGTTTTGACTAGGTGTTTTGATATCACTATATTACCTTTCTAACACCCCACTACCCCCAAGTCTGATTTCCAAAACACATTGATTCCAAGAATCTTGGTTATGGGATTATAGAGCTGTAGTAGTAAAGATGAAAAGAGGGAGCAAGATGAAAGTACCAGGTAAAAACGTTTTATGGGACCTAAAATGGGAAGGCAATGAAGTTGGAAGGAATATGCAGAGAAGTGGCCTTGCTCAAAACCAGAGGGAAAGTTCTAATTTTTTCCTCAAACATACTTAACTACAACAAAAAGTTAATAAAATTTAACAAGCAAGGTGTCTTAAAAACACTGAATTAAAGTCAATGTTGCTCTTAACAGAAAGTAAGAAGTAGTGGTTCCTAATCATAAGCAGTAAAGACATGACAAGCAAAGCTAGTGGACACTGATCATGTAAAGGAGAAAAGAAAGAAAAAAGAAAAATATTCAAAATAAATGAGTGTCTTACTTTTCTAATTCTTCAGGATCAAATTTCCACCAAGTTTCAGGTTCATGAAACTCTACTCTGTATCCTTTTCCTATGGCCTACACAGAGGAAAGGAAGAAAACACAAACCCAGAGAATACTTCTTATAAGGTAAAAAGAAGGCAGATACAAATTTCATTTAGATAATACTTCTAAATTTGCTCCACCAAGAAAAATTTTACTTTTAAAATAATATGGTTTACAAAAATTTTAAGACCACTTAACTGGTAAAATTCCAATTACTATCTTCAAGTCCAGGCAAAACTAACAAGATAATCATATTCCTTCATAAGCACCATTCCCACATTTTTTAAATTAAGTAAACACTCATATTTCTTTAGAAAACAAGGACAATGTTTTAATAATAAAGATCAAAGTAACCAAAATTTCAGAATATAAAAAAATTAATAAGAATAAAATATAAAAATGCTCTCATATTTCATATTTACCATTTCCACATATGGTTTCATTTCCCAAGCCTGTGTATTAGTGTTGTCTATTATAACTGGAGATCTCCCCTGATTGATAGCTTGTTTAGCTGAAATAAAAAATGAATTTAAAAAACAAAAATAAAAACAAAGAACTATTAGGGTTAAAATACACAAATAAACTTTCATTACTAAGAAATTTTCTACATCTCCATACTGAAAACCAAACCTATGCAATCTCTTTATTGCCATGGAAAAAAGGACTCTGCTAGATTAAAAGGAATTACGAGACACAATCACATGCCCTGTGTATTCTCCAGACCAGATATTGGTTTTGACTAACTGTAAAGGACATTTTTGGGAAAATACTTTGTGCTTATACCTAGTGAAGAGTTTAGTCTAGAACTAACTTTCATTTATAGGAAATACAGGAATAAGTTACATTTGAATATGGTCTGAATATGGAAAGAGGTGAACATTTATTGACATGGAAAGATGGAGATTTGTTAACTGGAAATGGCAAGTTGCAAGATAATATGCAAGTATGATCTTACTTTGGTCAAGATATAAAGATCTGAGAAGAGTTGCTAAGATATCAAAAGTAGCATTCTATAGGTGGTAAGAATATTTGCCATTTTATGCTTATCTGTATTTTCCAATGTCTTACAATTACAAATAATGCTTTTGGAGTATTGGGATGACATTCTAACTAACTGAGCTATCCAGCCAGGGTACAAATAATGCTTTTAAAAAAATGCTATGGATTTATTATTCCTTACCAGCAAAACTTTATATACCAACTAACCAGTTGGTATATATACTAACAGTTCAACAGACTTTGTGGTTATTTTTTAAAACTATTATTTTTATTTTTCAATTACAGTTGACATACAATATTATATTAGTTCATGTATATACCCCAGTGATTAGAAATAGACATTACAGAACTTACTAAGTGATCACCTCGATAAATCTTGTATCCATCTGACACCAGATATAGTTATTATAATATCCTATCTAATAATAGACAAACATGGTAATTGACCATACCTTCGCTACACCTCCCATAGGCTAATCAGCAAGATATGCAAATTAACCACCAACAAAGATGGCGGCTAATTTGCATACTGCAGGCAGGGCGGGTCAGCACCATCCTGCCTGCCCTGCCGCCATCCAGGCCTGCTATCTGTGACGCGGGGTGGCGGGCGTCCCATGTGCGATCCAACCCGGGGTGGCCGGGCGGAGCAGCAGCGATCCGCTGGCCCGCCTGGGTGTCCCGTGTGCGACCTGACCCAGGGCGGCAGGGCGGGACAGCATGGCTCCTCTGTCACCCCAGCTTCTTCATCACAGCTCCCTAAGCCTTTAGTCGGACATCCCCTGAGGGCTCCCTGGCTGCCAGAAGGATGTCTGACTGCAAGCTTAGGCCTGATGCCCCGGGGAGTGGGCCTAAGTCGACAGGTGGACTTCCCCCAAGGGGTCCTGGCCTGCAAATGGGCCCAGGCCGGGCTGAGGGCCCCCCCCCCCCCCCCGCCCCAGTGCACAATTTTTTGTGCACCGGGCCTCTAGTTTACTATAATCTCCATGCTGTACTTTACATCCCCATGACTATTCTCTAACAACCAATTTGTACTTCTTACCTTGACCTTTTTCACCCATCCCTACAACCTTCCCATCTGGCAACCATTCAAAATGTTCTCTGTATCTATGAGTCAATTTCTGTTCTGCTTGTTTATTATTATTTGTTTTTAGAGTCAAGTCCAGGAAGCGCAGAAAAGTCCCAAACAAGATGAACCCAAAGAGGCACACACAACAAAAGAAACAAAAAAAGAGGCACACACCAAGACACATCATAATTAAAATGCAAAAGGCAAAAGACAAAGTGAGAATCTTAAAAGCAGCAAGAGAAAAGCAGTTAGTTACCTACAAGGGAGTTCCCATAAAATTGTCAGTTGATTTCTCAACAGAAACTTTGCAGGTCAGAAGGGAGTGGCAAGAAATTTTCACAGTAATAAAAGGACCTACAACCAAGATTATTCTACCCAGCAAAACTGGTTAATATTTCTTAGGACTATGACTCAAACTGGGAGCTGAAATTTTTAAATTTATGTCTTTTAAAAAGTATGTCTCCCTATCCCTACACCATCTCTTCTCCCATGAGGTGAAAATCACTGCCACAGTGAACCACTGTTATGACAGAAGTGTATAACTCTTAAGTGTAAACAGACAAGAAATATAATTAAGAACTCATAATAAAATTTAAAAGGCTGAGGCAAAATGTAATGATAGAGAAGTTTTCTTGGGAGTTAGTAAGTTCTACATAATGAAAACATTTATACAGAGGTCCAGGGCAGACAGAATTCTAAAGGTTAGTTAGTTAAATAGTAATGACTATGGTTGAGTACATATTTGGAAGATATCTCTAAATACCAATAGAAATTTAGAATTTGGATCATATTAAATAGGACACCAAGATGCTGCCCACCTACCCACTGCTCTATCCCCAATCATAAAGTGACCAAATCTTTCATTAAAAACAAAACAAAACAAAAATAACACCCAAAAAAACCATGGGCCTCAATCCACAATCCATGAAATTAAATTTTTGAGCTACATGGGCTCTAAGGTCCTCTGCAGGGAGAATAATCTGTGATGATAAACCTAGGATGTGCTTCAAATGAGCTGCTGGTGCCCTAGTTGGTCACACCGCTCTCTAGGCTCTGCAAAGCAAGGGAGGTGAATTAGATGAAAAATTTAAAGTAACTCTCTTAATGTCTGATAGTTAGGCCTACTCTTCCAAGGTGTTAAGTTCCAGAAGAAGAGTTTATCAACAAATTAATGGGAAGATCATCCTCTTTCCTAAATCATCATCATCCAATACCACATTGCAGGGCACTGCACTTCAGGAAAATAGAGCTCCTAAAGAAACAATGTTTGAATACCTAAATAATAAGTGTCATTTTCTTTTTTTTTTTATATATATATTTTACTGATTTTTTACAGAGAGGAAGGGAGAGAGATAGAGAGTTAGAAACATCGATGAGAGAGAAACATCGACCAGCTGCCTCCTGCACATCTCCTACTGGGGATGTGCCCGCAACCCAGGTACATGCCCTTGACCGGAATCGAACCTGGGACCTTTCAGTCCGCAGGCCGACGCTCTATCCACTGAGCCAAACCGGTTTCGGCAAGTGTCATTTTCTTAAACAAATTAACTATCATATTCTAAGAAAGAGAATATTGATACCTTGGAGATGTTTTCAATTTATAAGCAGTCTAAGATGAATTTAGATTCTTCTAATAAAGATGAGACAGACAGACATTCTCAGAATATGGCCTAGCCTTTAAAGGATGCAATAAATATTTGTTGAAAAGAGAAATTCTACCCTAAATAAAATAAGTCCTGCTTTAATTTCAAAATGTCTAATTGCTAGTTCTCAATTTTCTACCTGAAAAAGGTAGAAATTACTTTTAAAAAGTCAGTATTTATTATACTAACAAAACCAGTAGTTTATCTAGAAATCACTGTTTTGTTCAGCAGTATAATTCATGTGGCATGAACCTTATAATGAAAATTTTAGACTAGTTCTGCAAACAGAAAAAATGTCCCACACAAACAAAAGCTTCCCAGTCTACCAAAGGTATACGGCTCTGCCCACTGCCTATATTCATTCTACTTATCACCTATTCTCATTCCCCTAACTTTAGGCCAATAACACCACACATTTTGGGGAATTGCAGTATCAACATTATTTTATTTGGGCAATAATATCCTATGGCAATTTTTTAGAAATTAAAAATATTAATTTTTTTGAGATTTTTATGCCACTAATATATTTGGAAATATCCTACAATGTCATAAAACCAATAGTAGGAAATAGTCTTAAAAATCAAACTTCTCTGACATTTACTAATAAATTTTCCTATGAAACCATGGACTGCAACAGAGTGAAACATTTTAATAAAAAATATCCTCCCTGAAATTTCTTATTTTGAAAATTAAGAAAAAAAGCATTTATCCTGCCCTAGCTGGTTTTGCTCAGTGGATAGAGTGTCAGTCTGAGGTCTGAAGGATCCTGGGTTTGATTCCAGTCAAGGGTACATGTCTGGGTTGCAGGTTTGATCCCAGTAGGAGGTGTGCAGGAGGTTGCTGATCAATGCTTCTCTCTCATCAGTGATGCTTCTATCTCATCTCTCTCTCCCTCTCCCTTCCTCTCTGAAATCAATAATAATAATAATAGCATTTATCCTGTTTTCCTGTACATACTGTACTTTAGGGTGACCCTAGTTGCTAGTTCCAGTTGAGAGGAAGCTCCCATTACATAAGAATTCTAGCTACTAAACAGGGAAGGAACACCAGACCTAGAAAAATCACCATTTTGCAACCCTTAATGAAAGAACTAATTCAGGAAACATTTCATTGTTGGATAACCCATTAGATACAAGTTTGACAGAGAACTTGGTAATGGAGGGAACAGGTTGTCCCTTTGAAGCTACTTGTAAAAAGAGAAAAAAAGCCTTTCTTTTTCCTTGTTGTAGCCTTCCACAATTTATGAGAAGCACCTGTTAAACCCCAAGACTGTTAGCTCCTGATTCAACTAGCCCCTCTGTACAAACTGCAAGACAAGTTACTTTCAAGGCTACATTCTTGCATACCCCTCTTCCCTGCTATTTTTGCAACTCAAGGATAATCTGCACTGAGAATTCTTTAGTTAGTAGAAAGTTCCCTTCACCCTCCTCTTCAAACAAGCCTCTTTTGAATCGTAACTTTTACTCTAAGCATGTTTTACGGGCTTAGGAAAAATACTGAAAAGACACCACCCTAGTCCATCTGCCGACTGTCTCAGCCCCAAATACCCCTCCCTTCCTTGTCACCTAGCAACAGCAGCCATTACTCTTTAAAAGAGTAATGGCAGCTGTTTACCTGCCCTTGTATTGGTTAGCAATGCACTGGCCCTTTCCCTTCGGGTAAGTAAAAATAAACTTTCTGCATCTATCTCTTCTTTTAGTAGTGAATTCTTTCACAGCATCACCTGCCAAAACGTTAACACTGATCATTCTTAGCATCACTAAAAATGAGATAACCAGACTTTGCTTACCCCCTGCAAAAAAAGTTGAACATAAGTAATGCTCTTTTTTGTGTTTTGTTAATCCTCACCCAAGGATATTTTCCCATTGATTTTTAGAGGGTGGAAGGGAGGGGGAGAGACAGAGAGAGAGAAACACCTATGTGAGAGAGACACATCGATCAATTGCATCCTGCACATACTTAACTTCTATTTAAAGCAATATAGAGGAAAGAGAAACAAGTTAAATAGTTACCATATGTGTGGACGAAAAAGGGGCCACAAAGGAAACCTAACAAGTTCAGGGGAGGCCTGCATGGCAGCCTTACAAACTCAAGAGATCTAAAGCAACCATATAGGATGGTCTGAAATTAAAACTTCCTAACTAAAAGCAAGTCATGGTAGGCAGTCATATCCTAGGATAGTATCTTCCTTGACAAAGGTCAATCTTTACCTTAATTGAGCCAGTTTATTGTCTCTTTGCACCTACAATAACATGCCTTTGGAAAGTCAGAATAATCCCCCCTTTCTCAGACCCCTCAGGGCACAATCTCCCACCAGAGCACCAGATCACAGAACCCCTTTGTTATATTATTTTCCCACATACCATCTCTATGTGCTGTAAATGTTAATTGTTAACCATCCTATACCCACCAATGTAAAAGAAGTGTGGTGTCTGTTTTACTGTTTATCCAATCTCAGAGATTTCCCCACTTTGCTTTATCCCAACTCCCTAATCTATGAGCAGTGGATTTCATGTAACCTCATACACCTTCCCCTTTGATGCTGATGTATAAAATAAGTAGTAAATATGCTATTTTTCTGGAGCATTTTCTCAAAGTTGAGATTTTGGTTCCTGGCAATTGTAGTCAGTTTGGCTCAAATAAACATAAAAATTCTTACACGTTTGGACATTTCTTACATCGACACAAGGAAGCAAATAGACAACTACAGGATATGGGATATTCTACAGGACAAACAACCAAATGTCATCAACAAATTAATGGTATAAGGGTTAAAAGAGGAGAAAATGCTACACATTAACAATTAAAACAAACATAAAACCAAATGTACTGCAAGGACCTTTTTTGGATCCTGATTCACACAAAACAACTGTAAGTACAAACAGTTGTTAAGACAATAGGGGAAATTGGATTACAGACTGGATATTACATGATGGCAAGGAATTGTATGAGTTTTTTTTAGGTGTGACGATGGTACCATATTTAAATAACATTAAGTAAGAAGGTTAATTTGAAATGCATAAAGTATAATGTCTAGAATTATTTCAAAATGCTTTAGTAATTAGAAAAGGTGAGGAGTGAAAACAAAAATAAGGTCAATATAGCAACTGATATGGTAACTGATAATTCTGAGTGATGAGTATATGGGATTCATTATAATCTCCTGACTCTAGGTTTACATTTTCTCTTAATAAAATGAATTTGTTTAATTATCAATGCATTCTTCATCTATTAAAAAATAAATTAACTTATACTATATGCATTTACTTACATAGTTCTAGACCAAGTTTTCAATCTGACTGCAACATGAGAATGCCTGAGTAACTTTCAAAAAAATACCAATGCTTAGATCCACTCCAGACCAACTAAACCAGACTCTCTGGGGCTAACTCAGGCATAGGTGTTTGTTTGTTTTTTATAAGGGGGGCGGGGAGGGGGGAAAGAGGGAGAAATGAAAGAGAGAGAGAGACCAATCATTAACAATTAAAACATAAAACTGGACAGGGGATCTAACCCACAACCTAGGTACATGGCCCTGATCAGGAATAGAACCTGCAACTTTCTGGTGTACAAGATGACACTCTAACCAACTGAGCCACCTGATCTGGGTCAGACGTAGATTTTTTTAAAAAGGTCCCAAAGTAATTAAAATGTGCAGCCAAGATTAAGAACCATTATTCTATGGTGAAAAGAAATTGACCCATGTGTTTCTAAAAAATGTATTAAATAGATTTTTCATGGAGTAATATCAATGAAAAAAACTTTTAATATTCACAGCATTATATTAAGCCTTAAAAAACAATAACATTACTCTAAGGGAAATAACTTTTTGAAATACATAACTATAGTATCAGTTCTCTGAATTTATTCAAGAGATATAAAATAAAGCCTACCAAAATATCCCACCCTTTATTTTACCAGTTTATATTGGTGGTACACTATTTAGTTTACAAAATATTTTACCTAAAGTCTCTGATTTTCACAACAACCTTGCAAGTATCACTGCTTCTAGTAGATGAAAAAATTGGGTCTCAAAGATGTTCAAATGGCTTATGAAAGTCATTCAGCTGGTAGAAGTCAAGTCAGGAATATATAAATCCAGCCCCGGCTGGTTTGGCTCAGTGGATAGAGCGTCAGCCTGCGGACTGAAGGGTCCTGGGTTCGATTCTGGTCAAGGGCACATGTCCGGGTTGTGGGCTTGATCCCCAGTAGGGGGGATGCAGGAAGCAATCAATGATTCTCTCTCATCATTAATGTTTCTATATCTCTCTCTCCCTCTCCTTTCCTCTCTGAAATCAATAAAAATATATTTAAAAAAAAAAATCCAGGTCCTCTGACTCCTAGTCAAATATTCTATCACAGGAGACTTGGGCCCAAACAAACCTCTGTTCTGGTTCCAGTCATGGGCATCATCAAGTTGATTAACATTATACCTGTACCCATCTTGATTGTGAAAATAGTCATCAGTGCTGAACACAATGCCATCACGACTCTGCCCAAGCAGAATTCTGTTAATAAAAGAAATCATAAAGTGCCATTTATAAAATTTATAGCCATGAGCAAAGCTTAGTAAATGAATTTTAGGTACATACCTGTAAGTATATTGCAAACAGAATAGCACAGGAGCTGAACCTTCAAAACCTTGCAGATTTCAAATATCATTTCACACTTAAATGTACAGTTATAGCCAGTTCCAAAAACTTTTTAAAGCAGCATTTATATTAAAACTTTTTAAAAACAGTCTTTCAACCAATCCCAAAATTATGTCAACTATTGTCCATATTTTTACTTTAGTGAATGTGTATTTGGTGTCTAAAATTGCCTAAATATAGTGCAGCAGATAACCTAAAGGGCAAGTAAGCCTAAGCAAGCAATTCACCTGTGGAAAACTGTATTTAAATCAGGATAGCTCTGATAAATTTATTTCCATGAAGTACAAATGTAAAACCAACAAGTAGGATTCAGAAATAGCTTGAGGCTTAATGTTGTGAAAGAACCAGTGATCCTCCACAGTATAATCAAACTTCAGTTTTTTAAGACATTAAATTACTAAGTGAAATAACACTAAATAAAAGAATACACTCAGAACAAGGCAACCAAGCTTTATTCTCACAATATGATTATGTTAAATTTTCAAGTAGCGAGATTAATAAGCATTCAAGAGTGTCAGAGGCCCAGCCAGTGTGGTGCAGTGGTTTGAGCATTGGCCTATGAAACAGGAGGTCACATGCCCGGGTTGTGGGCTTGATCCCCAGTAGGGGACATGCAGGAGGCAGCCAATCAATGATTCTCCCTCATCATTGATGTTTCTCTCTCTCTCACCCTCTCTCTTCCTCTCTGAAATCATAAATATATATATACATGTGTGTGTATATATATATATATTAAAATGTCTGTATCAATCCAAATATACCTGATGTCATACCAAACACTTTAACAACAATAAATTATTTAAGAATATGAGTATTTTCAAAATTCTTATAGTCAGATTCCATGAGAATTCTTACAAGTTAAGTCAGATACTAAAATGAATTCTCAGAATGTCAACATTTAGAACTCTGAAAAATCAAGTATCCAATAAAATTAAAAAAAACTCAGACACAGGCCTGCTGGCCACCTGATATTTATTATTTTCTAAACAGCTATTGTTTTGAGAATCTATTATGGACCAAGCAAAAAAAAAAAAAAAATATATATATATATATATATATATATATATATATGATCTTATCTAATTCTCACAACAACCTTGGTGATTTTATATTAAACCAATCAGAAACAAAAATAATTTCAGAAATCAGGCCACCAGAGTTACATAAATAGAGGTGGAAGCGCCAAAACCATTTGGCTCACAATGATCCCTGGCTCCTGATAGTCATACCCTTGTATAATCCCCTCCTCCAATACAGGTTGCAGTCAGGGACTAGAGTTTCTAATGGAATATGGCAGAGGTGATTCCAAAATGGCAGAGTAAGTGGAAGCTCCACTGACACTCTCCCACGACCAAACTGGAAATACAACTAAAATACAGAAGAACCAACCTGAAAAATCAACTGAGGACTAGCTGGAGAGAACCCTGATAACCAAGCATGGAAAGTGGAGGCTGCATAGAGACTGGTAGGAAGTGCGGAGGTGCAAAAGGGCTGGCTGGGCTCCCACAGACAGCAGCTGAAGTCCTGGAGGGACAGACCCCACTGAGAACTCTGGGGTCTAAACCCCAAGCTGGGCTCCCCAGCCCAGAGCACAAGAACTGAGGAAGGTGCCCACATAACATCTGGCTATGAAAAGCAACAGGGTTGATGTCAGCCAGGGAGAGAGAGCTGTAAATGCAGACAACCTCTTAAAGGGTCAACGCACAAAATTCTGTGTGGAGCCACGCACCTTGGACTATGGTTGAGAGAGGACAGAGTGGACTGGAGCTGTGTCAGTAGAGTCCAGGGTTGGGGGCTTTGGGGTTGGAGCTCTGAAGGCAGCCACCCAGGTTTCTTGTGCTGAGTCATGCCCTCATGTTGCAGAGGACCTATTTCTCCAAGGGACATTTGCAATCCAGATGATTTTTACTGGGAAGGAAGGCAGTCATCCCAGCCTGTTGGAAGACCTCTCACCCCTCCCACTGGTTGATAGCCTCAGGCTAATCAAGGCTGATAACAGACTGCTGGCAGAAAAGAATCTCTGGAGGCTTTGAGTCTTTGCCTGATCTCCTTCTGGGCCCAGGGCTAGGAAAAGCAGACAGTGGTGCACATCTTGGTCCTTTTTAAAGGCACCCAGCCACAGCAGAGGGAGCCACAAGCTGTGGATTGCTGTTCCAAATGGTACTCAAGAACAGTCTCAAACAGTGTCTGACATTGTCCTGCATTAGAGATTGGAAGTAATATCATATCTACCTAATACACAGACATGAACACAAAGAGACAGCCCAAATGGGGAAATAAACAAAAACACCTGAAACAAAAGAACAAGAGAATTCTCCAAAAGAAAAGCTAAATGAAATGAAGAAATTTATTAGACAGAGTTCAGAATAATGATAGCAAAGATGCTCTACAGCATGAGAAAAGATACAGTAATTATGAAGAATAGTACAGCACTAATAAAGAACACGGTGGAAGGAATACACAGCAGATTAGGGGAAGCTGAGGATTGGATCAGTGAATTAGAAGACATGGTAGAAAAAAATAAATCAGAGAATGAAAAAAGAAAAATCAATTAAAAAACAAGAGGACAGATTAAGGGAAATGTGGGACAACCTGAAATGAAACAATATTCACAAAATAGGAGTGCCAGAAGGGGAAGAAAGTGAGCAAAAGATAGAAAATATGTTTGAAGAAATAATGGCAGAAAATTTCCCTAACCTGATGAAGGAAAGTCCCAAGCAAGAAGAACCCAAACATGCCCACTCCCAGACACATCATAATTAAAATGCCAAAATTTCAAGACAAAGAGAGAAGCTTAAAGCAAGAGAAAAGCAAACTGTTACCTACAAAGGAGCTCTCATAAAGCTGACACCTGATTTCTCATCAAAAACTATAGGCCAGAAGGGAATGGCATGAAGTACTCAAGGTAATGGAAAGCAAAGATCTGAAACCAAGATTACTATATCCAGCAATGCTACCATTCAAAATAGATAGTGAAAAAAAGAGCTTCCCAGACAAATAAAAAGCCTAAGGAGTTTTTCACCACCACACCAGCACTGCAAGATATGCTAAAGCAGTGATTCCCAAAGTGGGCGCTACCGCCCCCTGGTGGGCGCTGCAGCGATCCAGGGGGGCGGTGATGGCCACAGGTGCATTTGTTTTAACTTTTTTTGTATTACCTTTCTATTCTGAGTTCAATAAATAGTTTCATAATTTCAAACTTCAATGTTTCTAATTTACACCTTTCTTTACTATATTTTACGAAAAAGGTAGAAACATTAATACATATATCTTTCTGTTTAATTGCTATTAAAATTAAAAAAAAATTAATTTCCAGGGGGCGCGGAGTAATATTTTTTCTGGAAAGGGGGTGGTAGGCCAAATAAGTTTGGGAACCACTGTGCTAAAGGGACTGCTGTAATGAGAAGAAAGAGAGATAAAAATAGGCATAAAAATTAAAATGGCAATAAATAAGTACCTATCAACAATAACCGTAAACATAAATAGGTTAAATGCTCCAATCAAAAGACATAGGGTAGCTGACTAGACACAAAAACATGACCCAAATAAATATGTTGCCTACAAGAGACCCACCTCAGAACAAAAACTCATGCAGGATGACAGTGAAGGAATGGGGAAAAAGTTTCATGATGAAAATGAAAACAAAAACCACACACACACGGGTTAGCAATACTCATTATCTGACAAAATAGACTTCATAATGAAGGCCATCACAAGAGACAAAAGGTCACTATATAATACTAGAGGGATTGATCCAAGAAGAGAATATAATCCTGGTAAACATATATGCACCCAATATAAGAGCACATCCTATATAATAAAAGCCTAATATACTAAGTGTCTGGTTGTCTAGTTGTCCGTTCAACCAATCAAAACATAATATGCTAATGATATTCTAAGGCCACTCAACCGCTCGCTATAAAGTACACTGACCACCAAGGGCGGAAAGTCAACTGGTTGACCAGTCGCTATGATATGCACTGACCACCAGGGGGGAGACAGTCGACCAGTCACTATGACATGCATTGACCAGCACTGACCACTCAACACAGGAGCTGCCCCCTGGTGGTCAGTGAGCTACCACAGGGGGAGCGCTGCTCAGCCAGAAGCTAGGCTCACGGCTGGTGAGCGCAGCTGCCATGGCGGGAACCACTCCCGACTCCACAGCAGCAGGCGCAGCGGGCCGGGATTAGTGTGAGTGGTGCCCGGCCCCGATTCAGGTTCCTCCCTGGCTGCCTGCCGCTTGGCACACTGCTACATTCTCCAAGGGATCCCGGACTGCGAGAGGGTGCAGGCTGGGCTGAGGAACTCCCGCTACAGTGTATAAGTTTTGTGCACTGGGCCTCTAGTAAATATATTTAAAAAAACCTCTACAGCAGTGGTCGCCAAACGGTGGTCCGCAGACCACTGGTGGTCTGTGAGGTCCGAAAGGTTGGCGGCCTCTTCTCTACAGGACTTTAAGGGAAATATTGACAGCAATATAGTCATAGTAGGGGACTTTAACACCCTGCTGACTTCACTGGATAGATCTTCCAGACAAAAAATTAACAAAGAAACAGTACCTCTAAAGGACACACTGGATCAGATGGATTTAACTGACATTTATAGAACATTTCACCCCAAAGCTGCAGATTATACATCCTTTTCAAGTGCACATGGGTCATTCTCAAAGATAGACCACATGTTAGAAAAAAATATGTCTCTACAAGTTCAAAAATTAAAATCATATCAAGCATCTTCTCAGATCAAAATGGAATTAAAAAAGAAATCAACTACAGTAAAAACACTAAAAAACATTCGAACACATGGAGGCTAAACAGCATGTTATTAAACAATGAATGGGTTACCAATGAGAT